GTGGGGTTGTCACAGGCTGGTACCCACTGGAAGTGTCAGCAGTGTCTGGGCTTTGCCCCTTCATTGGGAAAGGGGGAGAGAAGCCAACTCCTCTGGGAGTCAAAACCATTCCCAGTGATGCCTTTCCCTGCATTTGCATCCTGGGGATGGGAAGCTCCTCTGCTCATGATCCTTCCTTTTCTTTTTCTTTTCAGAGGCAAATTCCGCAGAGCTGGGTGAGTCTCTATTTCCTGGTTTTACTTGTAAACCCCCTGCAAAAAGCTGGTATCTCCTACCTCGAGGTAGCTTTTTCTCACCGCGATCCCAGTCTGAGGCCTTTCAAAGAGACTTCTCAGACCCTCAGAGCAAGTCCCAAGCTCTGTCCAGAGGGAGGAGCAGCCCAGGGGTGTCTGGAAAGTCCTTGAGCCCTTGCTTGGTTCTGGATGCTCTGCCCTGTCCCTCTCCACCAGTCCAATGGCTGGTGTGGGGACAGCCCAGTGAGATGTGCAGGGAAATGTGACCACCTTGGAGTGCCCAGAACAGGGCTGGACTCTCTCTCCTGCCCTCCATGTAGCCCTCCATGGGGACAGGCTCTGTGTTGTAATTGGCTCTCATCTTTCTTTGCAGCGTGGAGAAGACTCATTTTTCCCATAGACAAAGGTAAATACATTTTGTGCTTTTGTCCTCTCACAGTCCTTTCCTTCTAGGGAGTCTTTTTCCATGTGTGCATGGGGGTGATTGGCCTGTACATTTCTGGACTGTCCCTGTCCTCAACAGATTGTCCATGACAGGACAGGACTTGTATTTATAGCCTGAACCTGAGGGCACAAGGTCTTGTTTCTCCTTAGTGGAGGGAGCTGTTGTCTCCCAGCTCAGTGAGGCTAGAAAACCAAGAAGGGCTTCAAACCAAAGAGATCTTTACACTAATAGGATCAGCCCTAGATAGGGATGAACTTCTGCCCCAACACTCTGCCTCTTCTTGTGCCTGCAGAGGAGGTTTTCCTGGATCCAGACACAGCTCATCCACAGCTCGTGCTGTCCCAGGACTGCAGAAGTGTGAGATGGACCAAAACACGGCAGAACCTTCCATACAGCTACAAGAGATTCAAACGACTGTTCTGCGTGCTGGGCCAGGAGGGATTCAGCGAGGGAAGACACTGCTGGGCAGTGGAGGGGGAGGTGGGCGATGAGACGTGCTGGGCTGTGGGGGTGGCCACTGAGGCCTTAAAGAGGAAGGTGGTGACCTTTCCCAGACCTGCTGAAGGGATCTGGGCTGTCCAGCAACAGAAGGGAAAGTTTGAGGTTCTTACAGCCTCTCGCACCCCGTTGTCCTTGTCGCCAGTTCCCAAGAGAATCTGGGTAGTTCTGGACTGCACAGCAACAAAGGTGACATTTGTCAATGCTGATGAGGGGACTGAGATCTACACATTCAGGTCAATCTCACTCATCTGGGGGAAGATCTATCCTTGGTTTTGGGTGGAAAAAGGAGAAGTTCGTGTGTGCCCCAAGGCCAGCACCTTCCCAATGTCCTCACCCCATCCCACCTCCCCTCCAGCCTCCGAGGCCTCCCACCCTTCTCCAGACACCTCTTTCACTCCTCTCCTTGGTGCTGCAGGAGAAGAAGCTCAAGTCAACTCAGTCCCAATGCAGGAAGCAGCCAGTGGCTGAGGGCAAAGAGGCTCCATGGAGGCTCCAGTCCCGATCCTGGAGCCGAGAAGGAGGTTTGGATGCTCAGAGGAGGCTGAGAGACCCTGGCTCAACCCCCCGGCCTCTCCCCTGCTCTTGCCTGGGCTCAACCCCGCACGCGGTGCTGGCTCCTCTCTGCTCTGCTCCATGCACAGGTGCTCAAATGGGAGGAGGAGCAGGGACTCTGCTTGCAGGGTCTGCCATGTCCCGGCTCTGCCTGGGATGTCTGGAGCTGTGGAATGGAGGGGAGAAGTCCTCTGGTGCTATCTATCTCTCGTGTTACATTGGGCTGCCAGCTGTCATCTGCACTTAAATTATTTTTTTTTTTACTTAAATTATTTTTATTTTTTTTTATCATTTAATAAAGTTTTGTACATGAATGTGAGGGCTCCACAGTGCCTTTTTATTATTATTATTATTCATGGCAGATTTTCTCCTCCTGGAAGTTTGCAGCATTGGGATCCGG